TGCTGCTGAGGCCCCGGCCCACAGGACGTCCGCGAGGGTGACGTCTGGCCGAGATCCGGACGCTGAGGAGGTGACCCTGACTCTCTGGACCTCAGACCATGGACACTCTGGGCCGCTAGACCCTGAGGCCCTCATGGCCAGATAGACCAACCATTCGAGCTTCTCCGAACGACTCGGCTGCCGCGACTCCCAGTCCATGACCCTCGCAACTTCGTCAAGTCCGACCGGCCTGCCAGAGGCCAGGTCCCAGACCCAGGAGCCCTGCACCTTAGAGGTGCACGGGAGACCCTCTCTCGGTCCCTCCCTGGACCAGGTTCTGAAGCTCTTGACGGTCCAGCTGCTGGGATCGGCCCCAACGGGAAGAAGGGCCCGAAGCTGCCGGATCTTCTCGGGACCGAGACTCGAAACCTCTAGGAGGGACGATGACGACGATGATGACAGGCCCTTTTTACCAGTCCGGTCCGAGGCCCTAAGGCCATCGGGCTTCGAGCCGCTGGTCAGCCTAGCCGGCTGAGAAAGAGAAGAACTGAGCCTGCTGGAGCCGCAGACTGCCTCGCACGAACTGGCTGTCCTCGTCTCCTCGTCTAGCGCTGGCCGCTGCCGCTGGACCCGCCGCCCAGGGTGCCCTTGAGCATCTGCATGAGCTCGTTGAAGTTCTCGGTCGTCTGCTGAAGGCTCCTCTCGGTCGCCTCCTGCGAGGCCCTCTGAGCGTGCATGAACTCCATGATCTCCTGGCGGTTGGCCTCCTGGTCCTGAAGCAAACGCGTCAGCGTGTCGCTGTGGCCGGTGTGGGGGTTCTGGTCCAACGGCGACCTGGCCGGCGAGCCCTTGACCGCTGCTGGAGCGGGGGTCTTCCTGGCTGGAGGTGCTCCCGCCGGCGGCGCCTTCCAGGGCGGGCATTTTGACTCGATGGAGAGCGGACGAGACTGGCGACGAGGGTCCACCATCGCTGGGTAGTCCTGCTCGCTCGGCTCCACCAGGCCCTCGTCCTCCAGCTGCATCTTGAACTTGCTCTTGATCGTGTTCTGCTCGCTGACCTTGCCCCACTTCTTGCGTTCCTGATCGACCTTCCTCTGGACCTTTGCGTCGATCTGCTCCTCCTTCGTCTTGGCGTGGTAGCTGATCCTGGACAGGCAGAGCTTGCACCTGATCCAGCTCGCGTACTGGTTCGACCTCCGCTCGCGGTGCTCCACTGGGTGGTGGCACAGCTCCGGGTCTGGCTTCCCCGTCGAGAGCGACGCGAGAGGCGCGAGGTAAGCCGTCGTGCGGGAGGCCACGCAGTAATTTAGTATCATCAGAAGCTTGAGAGCCCAGCGTCTCCAGGCCTGCTGATCCGGCGTGAAGAGAAAGCCCCCCTCCGCAAGAAGCTCCTTCTCGGTCTCGCTCATCTCGACCTCCGAGTAGTCGACGTGCTGGAGCTCGGTGTCGTGCCACGGGTCCGGGGTCATGTCCCAGTTGGCCTCGATCTCCGAGTCCTCGGGAACGTCCGGCAGATGGACTGGGTTCTGGCTCCCCGCGCCCCTGACCGTGGCCCTCGACCGCCCCATGAGGTAGCCCACGGTGCGAGCCCTGCCCGGCATGCTCTTGCGGCCGAGCTGCTTCTTGACGCCTGTCGCTGACATGGTCTGGCACGGAGAGCTGAGTCGGACCACTGGAACGTGTGGGATCGTTGCTTGCACGTGAGCTTGAGCCGGGAGCAGCTACGGAGAGGACGCTGGTCTCTGAACTCCCAAGACAGCCCACGAAAGTTGGTCCCGAGACACCCTCCACACTCACCGAGGACGAGGGAGAGGAGGAGAGGGACTGAGCGCATGCAAGCAAACTGCCCCGCCCGTCCTGAGAGGCCGCTTCGCCGCTCACCAGGAACTCCGTGTAGCCGATCCAGTAGTCAGGCATCGCGCCGATGAGGTCGTCGCGCTTCCAGTCGGTCTCGAAGTAGTGCTCCACGCTGACGCCGCCCTTGTCCTTGAACTGGCAGCACGTCGTCATCTGGCCCGTCAACTCACTCAGCGCCCTCGGAAGATCCTTCAGAGCGCGGGGGTCGACCATCGTCCGCCGAGGGCGCACGTGTACCAGTCGAACCTTGTCCCCGGTCCTGCCAGTAGTCGCCTTCGGGCTTGTCGACCGTGAAACTCGGAAACCTCTTGGCCAGCTCCGGGTCCAGCTTGAAATCTCTCGGGTCCCTGCCTATCAAAGATATCGTCCGATGTCCTGACGGAAGTTTCGTCATCTGGATCTTGACACGCTCAGCGTTGCCGACTGTCATCTCGTCCTTCTGAAGATCGATATGAGCGTTCATGAACTCCAAGAAGCCTGCCGGCAGCAACGGAGGACAGGAATGTGGCAGCACCAAGAACTCGAGCACCCCGCACCTGTGAAAGCTCAGGGGAACGAGAGCCTTCGCCACCGGCTTCACCTTGCCCCCAACTCCGTTCGCGCTCGGTAGGTCGTCGCATCGGATGACGTGAACCTTGAAACCTTTCTGCTGGAATGCTCGTCGAAGTATCTGAAGATCTGGCTCACCGATCAGTGCCTGCGCGGCCGCCGTATCCACGAGCGCATGGTCGCCCAGGTCTCTCAGCGTGAGCCCCGTGAAGGAGTCGCTCTCGGTGACCTCTGCCAGTACCTCCGCTAGCTGTTCCACGAAACTTGCCCACGAGGGCGTCGAGGTGCCGAACGAGTCGAACGAGAAGTAGAAGTCCCCCGATCCTCGGGGAGCCGTGCCGCTAGGCGTCGTCGTCTTCCTGCCAGAGCCCTCTGACTTCAACCTGTCGGCTTTCGATCGGTGCGGCTTCTTGCAATCTTCACGCCAGCGCCCCTTGTCACCGCAGTTCGTGCAACGAGTGCGCCTTTTCAAGTCCTGCTTCGAAATTCTGCGAAACGTCTGCCGAGGGGGAGGAGGATGGTCACCACGTTTGCGATCAAAGAAATCTCTGTCTACCTTCCTAGCTGCCTTCAACTGCTTCGACTCTTTCCACGTGCGCCTCTTCGTCGCCGCCAGCTCGGCGTACACGTGGTACGCCTCGTCCTCGTACAAGTCTTTTTCCTCCAGAGTTGTCAGGAAAATCTCGGCCTCATCTTCTGGAAACTCCGTCTCGAAGATGTCATACTCCTCGTCCGATCGGCCGGCCTCGTCCTCGCACTCTTCCAACACCGGGTAGCTCCTGGATCCGGTGGGCCTTGACTGGCCGGGCAGCATCGTCTTGTCGGACACGTCCATGGCCAGAATCGCCTTCCTCGTCGCCGAGGCTGACTCATCACCCTGCATCAGCGTCTTCAGGTTGATGCGGTTCTGCGTGCTCAGCTGGGCGCCCTCTTCGTAGAACCTCGCCTTCGCGTTGTCTGGCAGCGAGAGGCCCACGCGCTCGGCCGCCGCCAGCTGCTCGTCCCTTCTCAGAATGAAGTTCGTCAAACTCTCACCCTTCCGAATCTGCACGTCGAAGAGCGCTGCTCCCTGTGCTTCCCTATCTTTGTCGCCGGGGCGCTCTCCATTCAACAATCGCAGATGACCGATGAGATTCTCGATGCCGTCTGCCTCATCCATCTCCGAGCGCACCAGCTTAAACTTCCCTTGCAGCTCGATCGAGAACCCCTCGATGATCTTCGCGGCCTGGTGTTCTGGAAGAACTCCTGTGCGCCTTGCCCACGAGCGCAGGTTGGCCGCATACAAGTCTACGTGCTCGAGGCCTGGGAATGACGGCGGAGCCGAGAAATCCTTGGACCTCTCAGGCTGGCCCCTCCACTTGATCCCCTGGTCGTCGTCTCGGTCGCTGTGCCACCAGCTGCTCCTCGCGCCACTCCACCATCCTGCTGACCACTGGTCCTGCGCCCAGCGCCAGCCGTCTCTCCACCAGTCGTCTACCTGCTCGGTCCCCTGCGCGCCCCACGCCGGTCTCTCTGGTGTCGGGATGTCCTCCCAGCCTCCTTCTCGTGGCCCGTCGCGTGCGGCGGGTTCCTCCTGGGACCCGGACGCTGCTCCTGGCGTCTGTGCCTGCCCCTCCGAGCCCGCTGCGTCCACGCTCCGCTACCATTGTTAGTGGAATCGTCGGGCATGAAATCAACAAGGTGGGAGAGGGGGACACTCCGTTTTCAGTAGCTACGCCTCGGGAGCCCGAGGAATCACTCTCATCCCGCAGCAAGCGGGCACTAAGCCTAAAAGGCTGATACGGGAACACATGCAATTACAAAGAGGGGTGGAGGGAAGAGGAGACACACCACACCAAGACGGCCTACGAAGGCCAAGATGCTCCAAGAGGACATTGAGAGGCACCCAAGATACCCCAAGAGGCCCTCAGAGGCCCACAAGAGTCCCCCATGAGGCCCCCAAATAGCCTCCTTATTCTCCTCCTCCTCCTTCTCCTCCGTCTCCTCCCTCTCCGCCTCTCCTCTTCCTTCCACAAGTGTTCTACCAAGGGCTCACACAACGCTGGGGGAACACGTAACCGAATAGCTTGGCAAAACTTCGGCACAACGATTGGCCACATAGGCGTTTCTACAAGACAGGGGGCGGAAGGGATTCACAGTAAACGTATTCGGCCATATTCGCATTAGAAAACTGACGAAACCAGACGAATCAGAACGAGCGAATCGAAAACCGAACGAATTGGCACAAGACGACTTGAAACCGTTTTGTTAAACCCGTTGAAACGAAAGCCAGACAACATGAAAACCGCGTGGATTAGAAATCAGACGAAACAAAGCGGACAAGACGAAGCAGACGCATTGAATAAAACGAAACGGACCTGGCGACAAGAAAACTGGACGAAATGAATGAGACAATCTGGCCAGACGCCCCTACCAGTCGGGAAAGGGAAACGTTAGGGGGGGACCGGCTCAAGAGTCGGCGATACATCGCCGATAGATCGGCGACGTGCTCCTTAGTGCAAATCCGTACGCTCCTGGGCGGGAAATGTGGAAATAAGCCCTATCGGCGATGAATGGGCAATTGGAGTCGATGCGAACCCCTGAAGGGGTGGGAGGGGGATCCGCGGCGGAGGCTCCTGGCGGTCCGGAGGCCGGGGCTCCCTCCGCCGCTCCTCCGCGGCGCCTCTTTGGGGGGGGGGGGGGGCGCCGCTCCGGCGAGGGAGGAGGTGCCGCCCTTCCCAGGACGTCGTTCTCCTGAACCATCCTGTGAGTCGGGCCCTCGTTTTGAATCCGCAGCACCCCGCGTTCTTCCCTTGCTCCCTTCCTGCTTCCTCCATCCCCACACCATCCTCACATCCCTGCCTGTGCCCTCCGCATGCCGCTGCTTCGGCACACCACTCACACGATTCGTGGCCCCCTAGAGATCTCCTCCCCCATTTCGGCACACCGTTCACACTTTTCGTGGCTCCATATGGACTTCCCCATCTTTCGTCTCACCTGTTTTGCGATGCTCAGCCCTGCACATGGTTGGGCCCTTCGTCAGGATCTGCTTGCGCAATGCTAACCTTTTTCGTCAATTTCGGCCACTGCGAGGCCCGTCGAATTCGGCCTCCGGGCCCCTGTTTCGGACCGTAAGACCGTCGGATCACGATCCGGGATAAAAAGATACAGGCCCTGGGACAGGGGTCAGGACTTCCAGGGACAACGTCACGTTGGCGGGCTGGTCTCAGCGAGGTGGCCAAGAAGAAGAAGAGGAAGAAGAAGAAGAAGAAATAGAAAAAGGAGGAGGCATGGCTTTTCGCACTTTGGGACTTTCGCTTTTTCCTCCTGGGGCGCCTTGGCGGCCACAAGTGGACACCCTAGTGGCCAATACGCAGCCAGAGACATGACTGAGGGTCGATTTGAAGGCAGGAGACCAGACTTCTTTCGCCCAGAAAAAAAAGGACGCCCCGGATGCAACTCACCATGTTCCCTCTGGAAGTAGCTTCTGGGCCACTGTGCCGTCAAAGCGCTACTCTGGGTGGAAGGTCGGTCCCGACTAAGTGGTCGAGAGCACTAGGGGCCAGCGAGTCGAAAAAATCGGGCCGGAGGTCCAGGTGTACTCCTCATTCGTCACGTCCCCAACGCGCGATGCGCCAACCGCAATCATCTTCGCGACCTCGTGCCGTCCCCATGAAGCGGAGAGACTCGCTCCGGCCCAGGCCGCGACGCGCAAAGCGCGGTCCTTCGCTCGCATGCGGGTGACCTAGAGCTCTCACCAAACAAGCGACTTTACTCCCCAGCACAGGCATCTTTCCAAAGCCAGCCTTGCATGCACGCACATCGGCAACTCACCGCAGTCGTGGCAACGACAACGCACTCCCTCCCTCTCCCCTTCCTCCGCCTGCTTCTCGTCAGGCGCTTCCTTCTCCTCCTGCTCCTCCCGCTCCTCCGCTTCGGTCGCGTCATCATCTCCCTCCACTTCACCACCTCCTCGTCCACCCCCCCTTCTCTTTGCGACTCTTCCCTGCTGCGGGTCTACTGAAGTGCCGAGGCACCATCCGCTCGAAGACGGGAGGACGTACGCCATCATCGACTCAGGCGTTTGGAAATCAATTCAATACCCAAACTCGCGATTCATGCGCCGAGACGCGCGATTCCATTCGCGTTCCCGCGCGGCTCCCCAAAAGAAAACCTCCCTGGGCCAGACCGCAACGGGCGGTGATCTTCGATGCCCTGCGGGTGGCCGAGTGACACCCACTTTCTGGTGACAGCGTCGAGGCGGTCGATCGCGACCCACACCGCACGCTGTTGATGGCTGCTGTGACGAGCCAAGCCGTGCGCCTTGTCCTTTTACCGTTACCGCGGTCGGCATGGTCATTCTCTCCACTCATCCTCATTCGGACGGGTTTCAGAGTCCCCTCAGTGGCTCAGCCATAGTCAACGGCTGAAGGTTTCATCAGGGGCGCCGTGGAAACTGGTTTGCAACGTCGGCTGGCCTAGCCGATGCTTGACTTAGCCCTGGCCGCTTACAGAGCTATATTGCGCTGACCCACTGGGCGCAGGGGCCGCGGCAGAAGAATGTAACAGCGGAAGCAGTAGCAAAGGGAGCTGCAACACAACAAGGAGTAACGACCGTACACATACAAGCCTGATCAATAACAACACATGCATGCAACACTAACAATTGTAAAAATGCCAGTCATAATCGCAATCGCAATGCAACATGCAACAGATGGTGGACTTTGAAGTGTTTCCTGCGAAAGATGCCCCGAAGCTTCCCAAAGTCAGCCGCGTTCCAGGCTGCCTTCTGTCTCCCCCCAATAGACGTTCGTATCGTGGGACCCTCCCCATCGTGGGTGGGAGCCTAAGATCCCCGGACCCTGGACAACATGCGCAATGCCACAACGATCCTCCCCCTCCCGCAGACCTGACCAGACCCAATCCAACAAAAATGCCTCAGCGTGCTCGGTCCGCATGGACCGCTTCTGGACCAGAACGAATGGGCAAATGTGAGGGCGTGACCGTCTCCGTAGCCAAGCCAAGTAAATTGTCTGGACATCACTCCCACCACCAGACGCCGATCGAAAGACGATGGCGAAATTTCAAATACAACGACGAAGCTGTTCTGCCAGACCTCTCCATAAGAAAATTGGATTTCCCAACCGTCACCCCCCCCCTCGTCCCCACGGCCGTCTAACGGCTGCCCTTGATCCGCCGCCGTACCCTGCGCACGTTCAGGCGTAGAAGAATGCCAAGGGCTGCCTGGTGGGGTTTCTGTATTAGAAGGACCCCCCCCCACTCGCGTCTACTTGCGTGCACCGCCACCCCCGATCCGAAGCCACGATCCTTTGCAAAAACCATGGGCCCGCGCCCCCCACGACCCCTTGCTAAAAACTATAGATCCGCGCCCCGAGGTACGGCTCATGCAAGTAACTACGGACACCAGGATGGCCCAAGGTGCCTCGAAGACGGTCCAAGATGGCCCCAAGGCGGCCACACAGGGCTCCAAAACGGCCCAAAAGGGCCACAAGGGGACCTCCAACAGGATCCGAAGACGCCAAAATCATGCATTACCTTTATCACCTTTTGTTTCAGATGAAGCAGTGGCTTTCGCATTCTCGCCTTTTCGGGCTTGCGTCAACTCAAGGTCCAGGACGCCTCCACGATAGCCCCAAGACGGCCCAGGGGACTCGCCGTCGGGGGAAGACCGCTCGCATCACGCACCGATCGACGGCCCAGGTCCCGAGGGCGAGCCTGGGGAGTCCTCGCCTCGCTCCTCCACGGCGTCTGCGGGCGCCATGGCCACCCGACCCCGCGCGGGGCGGCCAACGAGCGGCCGGCGGGCGCATGCACCAGAAAAGCTGCCCAAGCGAAGCGTGGCGACCGCGCGCGCAGAGACGAAAAATGCCTGACGTATGGCTACATGGGGGGGGGGTGCGGGGGGTGGTCAGTAACCAAAGGCTTTCAGCTAAACCACAGAATAAGGATGCATTGCGCAATGCGTGCGGCCGAAAACGTTCTTGAACGCCTATTTTTAAACAGCTGCAGCGGCGTCAGGCCACTCAACATAATCAGCATTGGCCGACGAGGAGAAGACGCAAGGGTAACACCGACGTGACATCTGACGCCCACACGATGGACTTTGACAGCGGCGGTCGTTTAGCAACCAGTACACATTGATCCGAACCCACTCGGACACTTCTGAAGCTCAGGGGCGCGGGTGATTACTTCACCCATGGCTCATCCCCTTCAACACACAGAAGAACCGTAACCGCACGCAACGACAACAAGCTGTGCTCAGGCCCGACGGACCCTTCCAGAAAGTACCGGCCAAAACATGTCACCTACAGCTCATCCTCGTCCTCCTACTTCTCCCCATTTTTACTTCTCCTCCACATCCTTCCTCTCTGCACCCTATGTTTTCGAACCGTGTCGGATAGTGGGGGGGCGCATAATAAAACAAAAAGATGCTTTAGCTGTGGAGCTGGGGGCGGCAGAATCGCAAGGCCAGGTGACACTCCTGGCGCAAGCCAAGTAGAACGGACATAGCACGTGCGCAAGATATTGTTCATTCGCAGCGCGTGTGAATCGCGAGCATTGCTGCAAGACCCCTGCCCGCGCGGTGAAGACTCGTTCGCTCCACCGCGACCACAAGATCATGATCGCAAAGCTATGTGTACGCCACTACGCTCTCACCACAAAGAGAAGGCTCGAATGAAGGCAACCCAAACCATCCCCACACCCACCACATCACATTTCCCGTGTTCGAAGCTTCTCTCTGGGGCCTGCGGCCCGACGGCCGCCATCGGCTGCTTGTGCCCCAAACGAACAAAAAAAACTCAACCGCCGAGCGGCGCGGGCAACACATTTGGTTCCATAGCGAAATAGGGCAGCAAGACAACCCAAGATGCGCTCAAAACGGCCCAGATTGGCCCCAGGATGGCTCCGAAAGGATACCAAAAGAAGGGACGCGAACCGAAAATCCTAGCCTTCCGCCCCAAGAGGATTCCAGGCGGCCCCGAAATGCGCCCAAGAGGACCCGAAAACGTTCACATTTTTACAACCCCAACGGCTCCTTACAACCAGAGCGGGCACTCGCCGACCAGCTGAGGTTTCCCCGGACACACGTTTCGAAACCAAAGCAAGCAAGCACTTCCGACCGCGCAAACAAAAAACCTGTTAAACAAGATTCCCATATAATTCTACAGCTCCTTCGTCCCACAAGGAACGCACGTCGCTGCCTGACGCGCGACGGCCGCGAAATGGCTCGTCATGGATGGGAAGTTTCGAACCCGCAATCCTCGTTGCGAACGGGTTTGCCCCGGGAGCTGAGACGGCGAACTCCCGGGGCAAGGAGGGGCAGCGCAAGTGCAAGTATCCTGATAACTCTCGCACTACCACCGTCACTCGTAGGATTCGTCGAGTCACTGGTATCTGTAGTAGTAGTAGTAGTAGTAGTAGTAGTAGTAGTAGTAGTAGTAGTAGTAGTAGTAGTAGTAGTAGTAGTAGTAGTAATAGTAGTAGTAGTAGTAGTAGTAGTAGTAGTAGTAGTAGTAGTAGTAGTCGAAGTAGTAGTCGAAGTAGTAGTCGAAGTAGTGGTAGTAGTAGTAGTAGTAGTAGTAGTAGTAGTAGTAGTAGAAATAGAAGTAGTAGT